ACCTTGAATATATTTGTTCTTTTCTTTTTGTTTATCTACTTGTCCGTGCGGCCAACAATAGTACATTAATACACAGAACTACATTAATATGTGGCTGACTGTGCTGGTGTACACTAGTGTGTGGTGGAAGGAACTGAAGTGTGCTTGAAAAAAAAATTGAATGCCTGTCATATGCAGTCACTGAAGCAGAGACGCCATTGGTTCTGCTCAGTCTTGTGAAGTGCAGATAGCAACATGGTCACAAGGTGCTAAGTATGCACTGGGATTCCCTGACACAATGACAGGACCAGAGGAACCCCAAAGGCATCACAGTGGCCTACAATTGCCACAGTTGACCAGATACATGGTTGAAATACATAGACCACTGGAACAGCTAAATTTGAGTCCAGTAGCACCTTATAGACTAATGAAATTTGGGGGGTATCAACTGTTGAGAGTGAAAGCCCCCTTTCTTCAGATACCTGATCTATAAGATACTACTGGACTCGAATCTTGCTGTTTTACTGCAGACCAACATGAAACAAACCAATGAAGAAGACCAATGGGCTAAAACAGCAAATCTTGCCACCCAATTGGACCATTTCTTTAATCTTTATAGAACATACAAAGACAGTCCTATTAGGCATCTAATCAGTCTGTGTTTCCTTACAGCTGTTGTCAGTTCCAGTGCTGGAGGTGTCGGCAGTGGTGGAGCTGGCCTAGGAGGAGGTTATGGCAGTCTTGGAGGAGGGGGAGGGTTTGGTGGTCTTGGTGGAGGAGGGTTTGGCCTTGGAAGTGGCTTGAGTTTTGGAGGTGGTGGTGGAATTGGAAGCAGTAGCTTTGGAAGTGCCCTTGGCCTTGGAAGTGGTTACGGTGGTGGAGGTGGTAGTGGGTTAAGCTTTGGAGGAAGCAATTTCAGTTCTGGGAGTGGAAAAGGCTTCGGGACAGGAAGCTCCTCTGGTCTGAAAATTATCTCCAAAACGTCCATCACCCAAAAGACTGTCAGAAACTAAAGCCTGCAGAATTCTCAACAACACGGGCAAGAAAACAATATCCATGTATGCTTTTTTTCCCCATTCCTGTCATTATCTTTTCTAATTCCCTTAAATAATTGAAGTTCCAAATGACAGCTCTGTATTTAACACAAATTTTATTTGTTACTAAACTGGCAGACGCCCTAATATAAAATAACTACATGTGCCAAATGGGGTGAAATATGGATGTATGTATAAAAAAAAACCTGCTTAAGGTTTAGAATCTCCTACTCTAATAATAAAAAGGAATGCCCAAACATGTCTGTATCCTCAAGAATATTTTTTTAAAAAAAATCCACATGCATTTTTCAGCAATGTTAATGTATCTAAAGAGCAAAGCGGTGAATCTACACATACTTTGATTCCATCAAAACCATAAATATTAATTATATTCTGATATTTTAAAATGTACTTACAGTACATACTCAACAATGTTTTTGGAGAAAAACAATTCAGAGCTTTATATGTAGATTTGTCCTTTATGAAAAATGTTGAGGCTGTCAAAGATCTGATGTCTGGGAAGTACTCAGGGACTCTGAGATACATGTGGACCATGGGGAACCACTCTGTTTCCCCCAGTCTAGCAATTCCTTTCAAGGGCTCCTATGAGTACATGGAGCTCCCTTACCTTCAAGGACTTCCTTCTTTATGCACTGCCATTTTTAATTTTTCAACGTACTCTCTGAAGTACTGCAGCCATGCTCCAGAGCCCTGTGTGCACATTTCGATGTGTACATGGCCCTAAACTGGGTCAAATACTATAGAATGCTCCACACACACTAGAGCTCTGAAGATGCTTACGAACTGGTCAATGGACCACCATTGAGCAATCCCAAACATGCGCCCTACCACTGAGCTCAGACCCTTCACAGCAGCTTCAAAATGCAGTAAGAATTTCAAACCCAAATGTATAGTGTATGTGTGCATTCAGTGGTCAGATTTGATTTTGACTTTTAATAATTTTGTGTTGGCCTTTCCCGCACTGGATGAAGAAATGGCCAGAAGGGACAGCAGGAGAGGTTTGCCGAGAACACCCAAGAAGTAAGGCTCTCCCAAGCTCCTACAGTTTTTCAAGATTAGAGCACCCCCTTGCTACAATCTAGGCTTGCCCATGCAACTGAAGTGTCGTTCCAAAGAATATTAATGCACAATAACAGATATTCTTAAGTGAGCCTCAGGTGCAAATGACTCACACTATTGGCAGCATGCAGTGACAGGAATGCTTGGAAACGAAACAAATTGTGCAAACACCTTTTAGATTTTTCCGATTGCTATGAGAAAAGAAATTGGTCCTTGAGTAGGGTTCTATCAAGTCTTCCAATAGATTGGAGAAGCGGGGGGGAGGAGGGGGGGGAGAAGCCAGCTAATCTATGAAAGCGATCACTTTCCAACAATGAGACGATCCTGATGTTCCCATCATGCTGATGCCTTTCAGCTATTCAGTCTCTGGGCTTGTATCTCACAAGTCTGACTATGCAACTCCTTCTTTCATTGTGAGCTTCTGCAGTCCTAGTCATTCTTTGCAGCTCCGCAGAAAGCTGCAACGAAACCCGGGACATCAGCATCACGGAAACATGCTGATGCTATCAACTAGCATGTTCCTCCATTGGAGTAGCCAAGTGGGTTCCGTGGGACTCCAGGGTGGTTTTTTTCCATCCAGATGTTAAGCGGGTTGAGACTTGCTTGCCCTTGAATAAAATAAGAGCACCACATGCTCTCAGACCTTGCTTGCAGCCACTTGAACGTGACACATTCAAAACGAGGAAGCGGCGTCAGTTCAAGATACATGAGCTGGCACCACCGTGCAACTGCTGAGTTATGTCACTGAACTTTTATTGGAAGCTCAGAAACATTTCAAAGGGATCATATTTCCTCATTTTGTATTACCTCCTTAAGCAGTAGAAAAGAGTAAGCGTCCGGTAGCACGTTAAAGACTAACAAAGCTTGTGGTAGGGGGTGAGCTGTCAAGAGTCACTGGTCACTTCTTCAGATACTTTTTGAGTGACCCATGAAAGCTCATCCCCTACCACAGATTTTGTTAGTCTTTAAGGTACTACTGAACTCTTGCTTTTTTCTAATGCTGTAGAAGACTAACACAGCGACCCATCTGGATCTACTTCCTTCAGTTTACTGAAAATCAAGCCACAATACAATTCGGGAAAGGATACACATGTAACGATTTCTTACAACTGTTCACTTTTTGGACTTAATGACACCAGTGGTGCAATTCCCCAACCATTTTCTTTGGTGTCATACTGCTAGCACTACTGTGGTATGAATGGTTTAAGAATTAAATGTCCATTTAAAAAATAAAAAAAACACAAACTTAAAACAGTGAGTTGGAGATGCTGATTGTTAAAAAAACTGATTTTCCAGAACTTTCTCCAAAACCCTTTACAAGTCTTTTAAAACCACAAAGAAGCATTTTTAAAGAGAATATTTACTTGATAATATTAATATAAACACTGGAGGGGGAGCTCCAAGGTGAATGTTTTCTTTCAAATTCCCATGATACATAAGCCCAGTTTTCTCTTTTAAAAAGTTACCTTTAAAAATGTCATGGACAACAAATCATGATCATAGTACAACATGCTCTTGGCAGGGCGTGATGCTAGCCATTTCATTTACTCTTCATTCTTTCTTGGCAAGTTTGTGGAGGATGAAATTTTATGGTGAGAGAGTAAACAATGAAGGACAGAATCCATTCGACCACCTTGGACAATCTGGCTCCATGCATGTTGTGTTTTATCATATGGATCATAATCTAACCCATGGCGATGGATTTGAGGTGTACGCAATGCACAACTCATGGTATGCTTTGCCCTAGCTTACCCCAGCATTCAGCCGCTGTCCTACAATGCAACAGTTCTGAGGGGAAATATTATTAAAATTCACCTGACCGTCTATTTCTCCTGTCTCACAATACCAGTTATGAACTCAGCTTTCAAAGTACTTATAAGCCTTTTGAAATCTTACACAAAGCTAATGAACAGCATATGAAGATTACTGCTCTGTTACAGCGGAGTGTTTGGGAGGGGGACTCCTAAATCAACGAAATCCAGTTGGGTGGAGTGCCAGATTCTCCTCTAAACGAGAATCCAGTTCCAGCCGCTGTTCTGAGTAGCCTCTGCATAATTCAGAGGGTAGCCCATCTTCTTTGAAGGACCCCAATGACATATGTTTTGCATGAGGAAGATCCCTGGTAAAATCATGTGCATTTCTCCTGAAAGGATCTCAGGTTGAAGGGTGAGGAAAGACCTTTCCCTGCCTGAGATCTCAGAGAGCTGCTGCAGCTGAAACAGACAATACTCATCTCGAAGCATTGAAGGTCTGTCTCAGCGTGAGGCACTTTCACTGTCCAATTTGATCCATTGGGAACTCAGCAGTCTGGGACAATGAAGCACAATGCACAATTTTTAAAAGTTGTTTATAGTAAATCACACAACAGAGAGCAAACTGTTGCACATGGCAAATCCTTCAGACCCGTCACCGCCCGAAAAAGCGAAAGGACGGGACCGAGTTGTGTAGAGCTCTTCCTGTTTTAAGCTCCTGTTCTTTCTGAAGTCTCACTGAAGTCCTTGGAATGGTGGAGTAATGAAAATCCATACAACATGTTGCGATGTTCAAGTCTTACAGTATGGTCCTCTCCCTACCTTTTTGCAAACAGACTCTTAACATGAACTGTTGAAAATCCCAAGTATGCAAACACTGTGGTTATAATCTCATTTCCCATTTCTTTGTAATTTATGACACACCCTCCTTGAAAAGGGGAAAATTCATATTCTTGCAGTGCCTGCCTCCCTGTCTGCAGACGATGTCTCTCCCCCTCCCCGCCCCCGCCTTTTTACTGTCAAGTAGGTGTGTTTAATGGGACAAGTTGCTGCAAGGCAACTTGCTCCATATCAGATTGCCTTGAATCTCTTGCCAGGTTTTTTTCCCCCCAAGCACATAAAAGGGCAGATTTCCCGCTCCTCTATATCAGAGGGGTTCTGCCTCCTTCGTTCTCTGCTCTTTCCTTGAAGCTCTGCTTGTAGCCAAAACCTTTCCTTGCATTTTTCCCCCTCCCTCTCTGAACACCACCACCACCACTATGAGTCGTATCTCCTATAGAACATCCTCTGGAGGGGGCAGCAGGGGCTTCTCCTCTGGTTCTGCCATTGTTGGCGGTGGCGGCGGTGGCGGCGGGAGATCCAGCTTTAGCTCGTACTCCGTTTCTCGGGTTGGAGGCTCAAGAGCTGGAGGTGGAGGTGGTGGCTATGGACTCAGTGGTGGCTTTGGCAGTCGAAGCATGTACAGCCTAGGTGGAAACAAACGAATTTCCTACGGTGGAGGTTACCGATCAGGTTTCGGTGGTGGATACGGTGCTGGTGGAGGGGCTGGCTTTGGTTTTGGGGGTGGTGCAGGTGGCGCCGGTGGTGCAGGTTTTGGTTATGGTGGACCAGGGTTTGGAGTTCCTGGATCTGCCTTTGCAGTAGGTGGTCCAGGTTTTAATGCAAGAGGAGGACCAGGGTTTCCCATTTGCCCACCCGGTGGCATCCAAGAGGTGACTGTCAACCAGAATCTCTTGCAACCACTCCACTTGGAGATTGACCCAGAGATTCAAAAAGTGCGCACACATGAGAGGGAGCAGATCAAGACACTCAACAACAAATTTGCCTCCTTTATTGACAAGGTAAGTACACAGATTAATGCCTTCTTGAATACTGGGGGGTTTACTAAATCTGTGGGAACTCATCCCACAGTCAGTCTGAGATAATTTATAACATGCAAAAAGTGGTTGCTCCTCCTTGATGCCACATCATCAGTAGGGATGGGTAAGAACAGATGACTGGTCTCTTTTTCTCCCCTAAAGTGGTTGTGCACATGCAATTGTTAAGTTGTCAAGTTACTTTAACCTTTGTGGCAAGGATGGCTGTGTAACATCCAGGCATAACGTCTCACGACTCAGTGGCAGAGCACCAGCTTTGCCTGCAGAAGGTACTAGGCTCAGTCCTCAGCATCTCCAGATAAAAGGTCCTGGTAGTAGGTGAGATAAAAGACGTCTGCCTGAGATCTTGGGAAGCCACTGGCAGGGTTGCCAATGCTGACCTTGATAGACTGACTCAGTACAAGGCAGCTTCATGTCTGGAAAATAAGCGGCTTCCAGCAGGATAGAAATGCGCATCTTTGTTTTGTGGTATAACTGATGACACACAAGTCACCCCATAGGGAGAAGTGGACTTCGTTCATTATGTAACAGCTTCAAGAAATTGTCCCAGGTATTCTGGCCTGATGTCCTTGAGCCATTTCTGTTTCCCAAGAGAATGTGGATCTTCAAAGCAGAGGATACCCACAGTAATAAAGTAGGGATGTCTCTGCTTCAAAAATAGAAAGAGGAGGCCAGGGACAAGTACTTTACTCTTTAACTGCAACTAAATAATGTGGAAACTGCAATTGCTCCAGAGTCTATTATCTGTGAGAATTAACCAAGTAGATTTAGAAAACAAATTATTTTGTCCAAAAATTAGACTTTTCAGCCTGCCAGGTAGTCCTTCATTAATTTTTGTTATTAGTTATGGTTTTCCTAATAGTCTGGATGATGAAAGACATGCCTTTGCAACCCGCTTGGCATTCAAGGGAGCCAATGTGAAGGCTTTTCTTGGAGGAAGGGAGAGATTTAGATAACACGCAATAAATAACATGCAGCGGGAAAATGCATTTTAAAAGGCATGCATATGTCAGTCTGTTTCATGTGGCTTGGGCAAAAGTTTATTTTCTTTTATCCTTCTGACAAAATCTGAATAGACACCAATTGGTGTCCCTATTAGCAATCAATTAAATTATGTCGGTCTGTGTTTGCAGAGGATCTGGTAATAATGTTTCAGTTCCAAAACAGGGATTGTTAGTGTTCCAGAGCACCTTTCAAAATCCCACCTATACCTTCTCTATTCATTCTCTCTGCTGAACAACATTCAAGTTCAGTGGCACCTTTATGACCGACAAAGTTTTATTCCAGGTATAAGCTTTTGTGTGGAAGGCACACTTCTTCACGAAAGCTCATACAAATTTTGTTGGTCTTAAAGATGCCACTGGACTCAAACTGTGCTCTGCTGCTTCAGACCAACAAGACTACTCACCTGAATCATTCTCCTTGCTTGTATCCTTATCGTTTTTATCCTTTATTATATAATATTATCCTTTATTATTTTTGCACACACCTGTTTAAACATGTGGCACTTTACAGAGGCAGAAAAGCAAAAGATAAGTCTCTGCTCCCAGGAACTTGAAATCTAGATTGCAAATAGATGTATGTAGGCTGCCTTTCATCTGGGGATGAAAACTAAGGCTTCATAGAAAAGCTGTGCTTTGCCCCCCCACCCTTACACACATACCTTGGACAGCATCCTTTCCCTTACAGTGGATGTGTAGTTTGCTATCCAATATTACCAACCCCTTACCTCTTCTTTCTTGCAGGTCCGATTCCTGGAACAACAGAACAAAGTCCTTGAGACCAAATGGGCACTCTTACAAGAACAGGGGACAACTGTTCGACAAAAAAACGTTGAGCCCCTTTTTGATCAATATATTACTAATCTTAGGCGGCAACTTGATGGTCTAGTGGGTGAGCGCGGAAGGCTAGATTCAGAACTGAGGAACATGCAAGATATGGTGGAAGACTACAAAAACAAGTAAGCCTCTTCTGTCCATCCCAGGTTGCATGAATGGGGACATTCTTTTTTATTTTATGTGCATTGCTTGCGAGATAGACAGACAAATCTTATGCATGTTTCATCTAAATTCAAGTCCCAAGTAAAAGTGAATGGATTGCTGCCTTAGATAGGTAAGAATGTGCATATATAAATTGGCTAGCATATTCAAGCCATCTCTAAAGTGCAGAATATATGCATATATTGTTGATTGGTGGAAATCTTGTACTCTTCCCCTGCATACCTTTGATTTGGCAAGTGAAGTTGCCACCTTATTGGTTGGGGTAACTGAAATTTAAACCCTACCCTACTCAAATTGATCCAGACAGACTCTGCATCACTAATGTGTGTATTCAGACTTGCTGAAGATTACAGAGGTCAGTAAATTATATCCAAGTTGTTGCTTGCATTTAACCAAACCACATTGCTGGTCAACGCTTGGTAGAAGTCATGTCTACAATATGTACTAGAGTACCAAAACCATTAGAGAGACAGACATTTCTTAACTTCTGCTCACAGCGTTGCAGTACTACACAGAAATCCATGTGGGATTCTCCCAAGCTCCTTCCCAGCATCATCTATTCAAAACTTTTAAAAAGTCATTTGCTGGAAGGCAAAATGAGTACAAAGCATGGCGTCAAAAGCCCTCACAAAGAACCTGCCAGACACAAATCCTTCCAGTCTCTTTTCTAGTGGATGCCAGCCTCATCATGTCTACTTGATGGGGTGAATGGGCCTGAAGTCATGAAATTTCATGAATGTGTTTACAGTAACAAGTTCCCTTTGCCAAGCCTAGCTAAAGAAGCATGGATTAAATTAAATCCTCGGCATGAGTTAGCGCTACCCATTCAAGCTGTGGCAAATATAGGGTTTTATCCAGCCAGTTTTTCATTCAATCTCATATAATTTGTCTCATCACTACAGCTACCACCCCACATGGTTTTGCCCATGTGGGTCCCCTGATCCCAGCATAGACCTTTGGTGGTCAAAGAGGACACCCACAACTCTCTCTTTTTTTTTCCCACCAGCGGAAAAGCTGGTTGGATTCAACCCATATTTTTTTTGTTTTTGTTTTAATCAACAAAGGTTTATTCAAGGTTCAGCCCATAATGTTACAACAGTTGCAGCCAGATACTTGTAGGGTTCTTCCATAGATTTCATGGCAGCCAGCAAGGGTTTGCCCCCAAGCATACATTTGACAAACAGCTGCATATACTCATACAATATTCATGTTTCTGAATATATCTTATTTACACATTAACTTTTAAGCATATACCTTAAAAATGTAATACAGGAAGCAGCCCTTGCTGTTACGTATACTGATTAATCTTGTTATCTACCAATATTAGCTAATGGAAATGATCCATTAGGTTTAATGTCTCTGATCCACTAATTTGGATTAGTTGGTTCCAGTGACTCCTTTCTGCTAACTCTCCTTCAAGTGGAAAAAAGACCTTACCTGATGGAGAAATACTTAATGGAAGTGTGTCACTGAAACTTGTTCATACAGTAGGTTGGGCTCAAAACACAACGTAGATCAACCCGTCTCACAGCAAAAAAGGGCCAACTATTTACCAATCACCCCCACCCATGTAGCCATACCACGGTTTGTCTCAAAGACAGACCATGTGCCCACTTAGACAGATAGTTCCAGCAGAACAGATAGTTCCACATTGCTGAAGAAAGCAAGTCAAGTCACATGCTATAGGAGACAGCAAAGAGTAGGACAACTGAGGGTACAACTGTCCTCAAACTGCTTCTACTCTTATTCCAGTTTGACAGTCATCATGGGAATTATGAATTATGGGAATTGTAGCTTTGTGAGGGTACTGAACATTATCAATCATCCCTAGCTCTCATCCTAGTATTCCCTTTCAGGACAGAATGATAGGTAAACCAGCTTAAGCCTGTAGTAAAAACATGACATTGAAGTATCTATATAACGAAAGTATAGCAGAATGCCGATGGGTTAGATCCAATGGAAAAGTTCACAGAACGGGGTCAGTGGAGTTGATCTTAGCCTGCCTTCTCCTTCCTCAAGCAGCCTGCTGCAATTGAACTGATGCCTTCTCCATCTTCTGGCAACTTGCATCAGCTGAGGAAGGTGAACGAGGCAATTTTACCTCACCCACCATCACTACAGCACATCCATACCATGTTACATTTGGTTTGCATGGCTCCCCTGATCCACAGAGAGGATTTTCAAGCTACTTGGGGAAGGTGGAGAAAGATTTGTTCGACCACCCTTTCCATGGAGTTTTCCAGTGAATCCAACCCTTCATATCTGACTTGGTATTTCAGAATATTAATTCAAAAATAAACAGACATTTTCCAGCAAGCCACTAAAGAATGAAGGTAGATTCCATCAATTAAAAAGTGGATACATTGACATGAAGTTCATACTTCTGTCAGTATCTACCTGCAATTTTATAGAGGAATGTCTCACACATGAGAGGAACATCAGATGACCAGACTCTCATGTGATCATTTTCTATCATATTTTTATCTCACTTTCCTCCAGAGCTTGGTGCTCTATAAATGGCTGTTCTGTTCTTCATTTTCTGCTCACAGCAATCCCATGAGGCAGGTTAGACTGGGAGAGGAAGAATGGCTGGCTGACAGCCATCCAGTAAGCTTCCTGTCTGACTGTGAATTTGGACCTATATCTCTCTGGTCCTAGTCTCTAACCCCTATGCAACACCAGCTTCAATTATAGTTTCCCATGAAATCCATGGTCCTGTATATCCATCCAGCAGTCCTAATAGTAAACTATGCAACACAGAGATAGAGTTTCTGCAAGTTCTAATAACTTGGAAGTAAAATGGGATTGATTTTCAAAAGTATACATGGAAATGGAGCAGCCAGTCTCCACAGACCAAATGTCTTGGGAGAACATTCATGAAAAGTGGACTGAAAAACAACCTACTGGCTGGATTGATTTGGCTGCCATTACACTCTTCTCTCTTCTCTGTATGATATGGGCTTGTATTGAAACATACTGATGAAGTCTTTTCTCTTGGTTGTTTCAACAGATACGAAGAAGAGATTAACAGGCGTACAGGTGCAGAGAATGAATTTGTCGTGCTGAAGAAGGTAAGAATTATTTTTGTAATAAGCACCCACTTTATACTAGGTTACATCAATGGCCCACCCCCCACCCCAAATTGGTTATCCTTAGTTAGTTGATACCAGTGTTGCTGATGTACCATGCTAGCTAAACCACTCAACTGCCTATGTTGATGGTTTTCCTTCCACTCTCCCACTGCACTTTGACTCATAAGGATCCCAAGAATCACTCGGTCTTTGTGTAGTTCAGCAGATAAGTAGAAATGACAGCCAACCAAATATTCGGAATACTAAATTCGTCAAGAGATGAAATGAATAGCTGGACTTGTTAGGCTTCGGGGGGGGGGTTGTCTTTTTGCATGCAAATTATTTTTGTGTTTTATGTTTTCTGCAGGATGTTGATAGTGCCTATATGAACAAGATTGAACTTGGAGGCAAATCAGACTCGCTGAACGATGAAATTGAGTTCATGAGAGCACTATATGAGGCGGTGAGCATCTTACTTTGGGTATCCCGAATTTCTGTCCCTAGAGCTGGAACTAACATATGAGATCACACTCCTGATTAGGGTTGCCAGGTCCTACCTTCTTCCCAGTAGGGGGATCTTTGGACCCTGGCAGGATTTGCTGCTGTGTGTGCAAGGTCAGCGCAGGGCAATGGCATCACCCAGAAGTGACATCATCGCGTCACTGACCTCATGCAGCAACTCTCTAGTTTTTGGCCAAAACTCTATAGTTTGAGCCCAAATTGACCATAGAGTTTTGCCCAAAAACTAGAGTGTTGCTGCATGACATGATAACGTCACTTCTGGGTGACATCATTACATCACGTTCCAGGGCCTTTGTGAGTGAGGTTTCCTCCCGCTGGAGACAGGAAGGAGCCTGAAAAAGCAGGGGAACCCCTGCCTGGACTGGGGGGGGCTGGCAACTCTACTCCATCTAAGCCAGTAATGTTTAGTCTGACTTACAGCACTGCTCAAGTGGTCAGACAGGCCTTTCCCAGCCCTGTTAACTGGAAGTGCCAAGGATTGAACCTGGGACATCCTTCCTGAAAAGCTCTAACAAGAGAGCTATGCCCTTCTACCAAGGACCTCAGAACGATGTATGTGGTTCTCTTTTCTGTCCTTACAACAGCCCTGTGAGGAAAGGTAGGTTAAGAGAGGTTGACTGGCCCAAGGTCATCCAATAGGGATGCCAGCCTCCAGGTGGGACCTGGGGATCGCCCGGAAGTACAGCTCATCTCCAGACTACTGAGATCAGTTCCCCTGCAGAAAATGGATGCTTTGGAACTGGCAATCCCGCCTCCCACCTCCCGCCAGTGTCCAGGGAGGACCTGGCAGCCAATGAGTTTCATAGCAAGGAGGGGTCGGAGCCCAGCACTCCCTTATCCAATACTGTAAAGACTACACCACACTGGCTCTTGAGACATACGTGCGTACTCCTCTGTGGGAAACTTCAAACCATATTTCCCCCCCTTTGGACATGCCACATTTCCCAGTCAGTTTTTCCCCCCTCCACCCACCTTCTTACTTGAAGAGACAAATGGATTTTAAGGCAAGTAGAGACTTAGTGACATCAATTATCACATCTTTTGCAACATAAGCCTGATTTCCTCCAGCTATTACGGGATCAAGACAAGTAAAACCGTATTTGAATAAATCATCTCTTTTGGGACGATGTCTAGTCTGAACTTGAGGACTGCCAGTAGTGAGAAATCCACCCTCTTCCTTGGCAGGCTATCTGAGTCATGTTAATCACTCTGATTGAGAAACGTTTGCAATAAATTGAATCTGTTTGGCTTTACCTTTCAACTACTGAGTTAGGTAATCATAATATTCAGCAGTAGCACCATGGAGACCATGCATGGGACATCACAGGATGTTTAAGTTTTGTCAGTGTGAGAACCTGCATAAATATCGCAGTGTGGACCCCTTCCCTCCTGTCACCTTTGTGCAATATATCCCAATGCATCAGAATTATAAATTGGGGTGCCGTTTTTGGAAAGGCCAAGTTTGGCATTGTTTCATTGGTGCCAACATGTGAGATGTCAAAGATTCGAAGTACGAGCTTCCCAAAGAAGGGGAGGGAAGTCCCCTTGCACTTTTCATGCAGGTTTCGACAATGATCAAAACAAGTACTTGAGTTTTGGAGGCAAACTCCCTTGTAATACAAAAGGGCCTGGATTATTGTAGCCCAAGCAGAACTCCTAGAGTGACATCCATTTCTGGGAGATAATGCCAATGTTTCAGAGGAAATGTAACCAGTGGCTGAAGATGCACATCAAAAGACAGTTAGTTCAATGAGGCTTGAATGAACACCGCAGAGTGGGTGGGGATGTCTAGTCTGTAGTTAAGTTGGCTCCACGGCTGGAAAGCAGAGTCCAATTTAAGCTCCCTCTTGTTGGATTAGGGTAATTGTCTATATCACAATGCATGCAACTGGTTCAGACAAGTCCTATACATTTGGCTTTTGATAGTTCTTTTTTAATTCTTGAAGTATTGTTAATGAATTTAAAAACAATAATGTTAACTAGCAACTACCAAACATAATTCCCCCCTTCTTCAAGGTCCTCCCTCTTTTTTGCTGGTTTTCAAGTCAAGAGACATCCAGAGGTGGTTTGCCATTACCTGCCTCTATGCTAGCAACCTTGGGTTTACTTGGTGGTCTTCCATCCAAGTACTAACCAGGGCTGAACCTGTTTAGCTACCAATATCTCACAAAATTAGGCTACCTGGGCCATCCAAGTCAGGGATAGAAGGTCCTTTTGCCCAACCAAATCAATTGCAGGAAATGTTGAGGCCATATTCAGGTTAAGAGAACTTAGTTAAGATTTTCATTTTCTGAAGTCATTTCCAAGGACTCATTTTCTGAAGTCACTTTCAAGTACATTTTGAAGTACTCTGACCAGCTGTGACTTCAACTGTCTTCAGAACTGCCACCATTCTTCACTCTGTCCTATACATATTATCTGAGTCAACTTTGGTCTTCCTTGCAGGAACTATCTCAGATGCAGCAGCAGGTATCCGACACCTCTGTTGTGTTATCGATGGACAACAACAGAAGCCTGGACTTGAACAGTATCATCGCTGAAGTCAAAGCACAGTATGAAGACATTGCCAACAGGAGCCGAAGTGAAGCTGAATCATGGTATCAATCCAAGGTAAGCAGCTCTGTCAAGAAATTGATGAAAAACCTATAGTAATCACAAAATTTATAATCAAAGGAAATTAGAGGTGGATTCAGAGGACATGGGTATAGGGGCATCCACTTCCACCTCCTGTGCTGACCTACCCAACTAGACTTCCTCAAGTAGACACTTGGGTGGTGAACTAGCCCTGGTTTAATCATAGTCTTAGCTTTCTTCCTCTTGCTTCTCAATTTTTTTCCTATTATTAGATGGAATGAAATGGCTGCCTAAGGCAGCAGGCATAGGGGTGTCATTAACTTTTGCTGCCCTTTAACATGTTCCAGAATTTTTACTGGCAGAGGTGTTTGGGGGTCTTTAGATGCTCCCTTTTGGAGCCCACAAATGTGGGACACAGGTCTGTTTCTGCTTAATTCCTCTTTCCCATGGCAAACATCCAATCCTTACAACCTATTCCCTCAGGAACTTCATTGTGAGAGGCTTTTTGGGCTGCAGACAGAGGACAGAAATAGGGAACTTGTGGAAACCTTTTCATGCATAGAAATTGTAGGTGGGATCCACAACAGTTCATCTGAGTAGGAACTTCCACATTTGCCTGGGAGGCTACCTGATCTGATCTGAGGAAGAATCCCTTCCCATTCGCACACAGTGATAACATCAGACTGTGAAGGATGAGACAGCCCCATCCAATGAGCCCCGTCCCACTGGAAATATTGCCATACAGCTTCTTGCCACTTTCTGTCTCCAGCTGCAGCAGCCCCCAGTGCTACAGATGAAGAGGCACTGCAAAATATGTGCCGAATGGCATGTGACCATACTGATTTGTCGCTGTGTGTGGGTCAAGGGTTACTCCTGCCAAGGTGGGGGCTGGAGTTCTCCTGGAGTTACAAATTATCTCCAGACTACAGAGATCAGTTCCCCTGGAGGAAGTGACAGCTTTGGAGAATGGACTCTATGGTATAACATAGAGTCAAGGAGAAACAGAAGTCCTTGAAGGACATCACATACCTCCCGAGCTCCCTCCCCTCCCCAAATTCAGTCTGCCCCATGGACCACCCCCAAATCTCCAGGAATTTCCCAGTTCAGAGTTGACAACCCTATGTGGGTCTGAACCTTCAGGACTTTGGCCAATTCTGGCAGCTATGTTATTAGACAGTTACCCACAATCCCACTTGGGCATGACCAAGACGCAGAATCAAAGATGGGACTGTGTGGATAGAAATGAATGATTCTCGTGTCGAGGGTCACCAGAGGCAGGGAAAGGGTTTACCAGCTGCACGAAGAGTAGTCTCCCTTATAAGTGAATGCCTGCAATTGAGTCCATTGGAGAAGTCTTGCATTTGGGAGCAGTGTAGCAGTGAGGCAAAACCTGTCCTTCTCTCTAGACACTGGTTCTGGCAGGCAGGGATACTGTAAGAGACGCTGTGTGTGTGTGTGCATTAGAGGACACAGTGACTGCACCCCACAGGCACCATTCATCCATCCCAACAACAGTCATTTTGGTAGGATCTAACAGCTCACAGTCTTCCTCTGTCCCATCGCAGTTCCCCCTTCCTTCCCTGATGTCTCTATGCCAGCGGGATTTCCTTTTCTGCACCATGCTAGCCATAATTTTTGCATTCTGTGCCCTTTTCTTCCTGAACATCAGTATGAAGAGCTGCAGGTCTCTGCCGGGAGACATGGAGATGACCTCCGCAACACAAAGACGGAAATTGCGGAGCTTAACCGGATGATCCAGAGGATGCGAAGTGAAATAGACGCCTTGAAGAAACAGGTACCAGTGGAGACTTTGTGTCTGGTTGCACTGCATTTTGCACATAGAGGCCAAGGATGTTTCTTTGTCAGTTTAGCAGATGGACGATCCTGTGTTCCGTACAATCACAGCCATTTGTTGTGGGGGAACCAGGCATCTTTTTTTCAAGGGAACATGCCACACACAGAGAACAGCAGCACATCAGAGAGAAGACTAGGTTAAACCCTTTTCATAGATATGCTACTTTACTATATGTAGGGGGTTTTGTGCCATGCAGAAACAATGAACCATACATCTCCCTTCTAGCCTAACACAATTCAGTCCAGAAAACTTTTTGACCCTAAGCTGTGCTCACTATAGAAGAGACCCAGTGTATCAATTGGAGTGTTGAATTCCAATCTGGGAGGCCCAGGTTCAAATCCCCACTCTGCCATGGACGCTTACTGGGTGACCTGTGGCCAGTCACGCAGTCTCAACCTGACCTACCTCACAGGGTCGTTATTGCAACGGCAAAATAGGGGATGGGAGAAAAATGTTATAAGCCACTTTGAGCCTTCACTGGGGAGGAAAAAAAAGTTTATCATCCTAAAACGTTGTGTTGCAAAGACACCAAGCTGTAAGGCTGGTTTAATAATCTAAATCTGATTTTAATAATTGCTTCCATATAACCAAGCTGTGTCGTTTCAACTAGTCTGTAGTGCCATGTTGCAGCGCCATGCTGATAATCGTGTAGATTGTATGGTTCCCATGACATCAGTGCCACAGGGAAGCTGAGCAAAAGAACAGAACAAATGACTTGTCTTTGCAATACCTCCAGGGCATTGCAAATGAGATCAGGAATCTCTGCCATTTCCCCCAGGTATTGCTCTGGCAGGCAGCACAGAAAAGTGGTTCCCACCATGCAGCTCTCACACAAAGTGATCCAACTTATTCCTGGAAATTTATTAATTCAAAGATTAATAAAATGTCAGGTTTCTCTCAAGTTCGCATAGACAGTGCAAAAGGCAGGGAACTAACCTCTTTGTTATATGGTCAACAGAGGTCTTTATGTCACAGGTCTTTACTTAAAAAACCTCTGTTCAAGTCTGTCGCTGTAACAAAAGGCCACCTCACTAATTCAGTCCCGGGGATCAGAGGTGTACGACAAGGCTGTGTACTCATTTCCTTTTCTGTTGAACCTTTGTTTAAGGGATCTGTTCCCTGTTCTGAAAAAGAGGATTCCTCTCCTCCAAAATTAGCTGACACTAAAAGTCAAACTACACATTACGGGGTGGGCATGGGACAAACCCAGGGCCACCGGTGCCTTCTAGATGAGAATTTAGCAGTTGAAAAATTATTCCATGGACCTGATGTGATCAGGCACACAGTGCAGTGGCACCGTGCAATCTTGTTCTCCCCCCCACACACACACACACACCTTTTCAAGTGCTGAAATAGTCATGGGGGGCTGTTGGAAATTATAATAACAAAGTTATGAGCAAGGAATGTCCACACTGGGAAAACAGCAGTTTCAATTGCATTTCTCTAATCCCGGCTTTATAAATAGCATTCCCCCTCCCCCGTGTAGCCAAGCTTTATCTGATAATGCCAGAGATAATGCAACTCTCATTGTACAAGTGTCACAGGATGTCTACACAAAGACTTCAACAAACCACAATCACTTGCTTTATAACGCCTCTCAGGCATTGCAAATGAAACCGGGGTTCTCCTCCTCCACTTTTCCCTTGGTAGTTCAAGACATCTGTAAAATGGGCCACACCCTCCAAAGTTCATCCAAGGCTTCTGTTACCCAGTCTTCAAGTATTACTGCAATATTAATTGCCCTTAACATTACTGTATGAAATACAGAAGGCACGAAATGCTGACATGGAGGGGGGGGGAATCATTCCAATGTGGCATTGGCTTTTGAAATAATTCCCATGGAAACATCCATGTCAAAAGTCACTCCACTGAGCTAGAAATGGTGAACAGTAATGGACTTGCACTAGCATGACATTTACACGGGGAGAAAGTGGAAGATCATACTTGATCCCACCATTGCATGGGTGGATCTACTTTCTGTGCACACAGTTCAGTACTAATCCGGCTGAATGTGGGAAAACTGAGCAGCCCACGCAAACAGGGCAATTATTTCCCCTGGGCCATAGCCTTACCCCTAAGAACAAATGCAAGATGAGACAACCCTGGTATAATTGTGCAGGATGGATTGGAGTGCTTTCCCGTCTGATTCCTTATGAAGTGGCAAATGCCTTTGCCTTTGTACTAGCACTGGATCTCTCCCCCTCCCCAGGATTATCTTGGTTGAAGTATTCTTCCCCTCCATAGGAGAGCCGGCTTGGTGTAGTGGTTAAGAGCAGCAGACTCTAATCTGGAGAACTGGGTTCTATTCTGCAGTCCTCCACATGAAGCCAGCTGGGTGATCAGGGTCAATCACCGCTCTTTCAGAGTGCTCTCAGCCCTAAAAACAAGTCTACCTTGCCACCTAGTGCTGCATAACACTAAAAGAGCTAGAACTTCTGATTGCCAAACAATCTTAGGATCTCCTGGCTATTCTACAAGGAATCCGGTTGCCATACTATTATTGTTGTTGTTATTATTGTTATTATTATCATCCCCTCCATTGCAACCATTTCATCCATTCATTTCATTTATATACTGCCTTTCTCCCCAATGGTTACCCAAAGCTCCTCACCTCCTTTTATCCTCACAAAAAACCCTGTGAGGTAGGTTAGTCTGGGAATGTGCGATTGGTTCACGAGCAAGATTCCACTGCAGATTGGGGATTCAAACCTAAGTCTCCCAGATCCTAGTCTGACACACTATCTACTATACCACACGTGTGTAAGCCTCCACAGGATCCACTCTGAAATTGTTCCCCAGGTCCTAAAGTCAAACATTAAGTAGGAACCACCCCATAGAATTCTGTTGATATCATTTGGCAGATGTGGAGGGAAAGAATCTTGATTGTTCCAGAGGACAAAGCCTCTGCTTGAAGCCTTGAATAACATGGGCTGTTTAATGGAAGAACAGGAATCATTTCATTGACTGTTTCCATTTGCTCCTGATTGGTGCGAGCGAAAAGACAGTTGTACCAAACTTAAAGGGGGTTATTCCCAGGATTGGGAAAGGGGAAAGATCAGACAGTGATAGCAGTCTTGCATGATGAAGGACTCCTCTTTCCTGGTTTGCAGTGTGCCAATATCCAGGCAGCCATTGCCGAGGCTGAGGATCGTGGGGAAATGGCCCTCAAGGATGCCAGGCATAAACTGAACGAGTTGGAGGAAGCCCTGCAGAAAACAAAGCAAGAACTGGCACGGCAGCTAAAGGAATACCAAGAGCTGATGAACGTCAAGCTGGCCCTGGATATTGAGATCGCCACCTACAGGAAGCTGCTGGAAGGAGAAGAAAGCAGGTTGGTGGGGGCTCAAGTGTGAAAAGTGATCTTCTGAAGAGCAGTCTCGGACGTTTTGCTGTTGCCTGTCCCGTAGTCTGTCAAGCTATTTCTTTTCTCATTTTCCAGCCCACAAGTATTCAGGCAATTTGTACGGCTTCTCCAAAACTTCACCTTTCCCTCTGCTCTACTCTCTAATAGAAACTCTCTGTTCCACTGCATTTCCCCCCGGACTCTCTTTACTGACATTTGTATCACTGTGTTCTTGATGCACTTCATCATTTCTTTAAGGAGCAAAATCAAGGCCCTGATCCAACTGGGCTCATAATGTGTCCTCTTGTGCTGATCAACAGGAGCACTAGGCCCAGCTTTGCTGCCATTCCCCATTGAAACAGCAGATTACTACTTTTCTAGCAAGGACCTCTTTGTGTAGCTCTAGCCACAGAGAAGGAGCTGCGGTGGCTCAAGTGGTTAAGACGCTGAACTGCAGGCTGTGGAAGGTCAGTAGTTCAGCAGTTCGAGACCCAAGTGTGCCGCATGACGGAGTTCCAGCTCCTAGTTCCAGCTCCTGCCAACCTAGCAGTTCGAAAGCAAGAAATTGCAAGTAGATAAATAGGTACCACTTCAGTGGGAAGGTAACAGCCTTCCGTGCGCCTTGGTGTTTAGTCATGCTGGCCACATGACCACAGAAATGTCTTCGGACAGCGCTGGCTCTTCGGCTTTGAAACGGAGATGAGCACCGCAACCCTAGAGTCGGATTCGACTGGCTTTTGAGCAAGGGAACCTTTACCTTTTAGCCACATAGGACCTGGCAAAGAAACCCTTGGGCAGGTCATCCAGTTGCATGCATGATTCTTCTTTTAGGTATCTGCATATAGAAGCCCATTTCTATACATAGATAGATAGATAGATAGATAGATAGATAGATAGATAGATAGATAGATAGATACACACACACACACATATATATATATATGGCACTGACAAAGTTCAAAGATGCTTTTTGTAAAAGAAGTTTAAGAAAAGAGATTCACATGCATATGTGGCAGAAAAGTTATTGGTAATTCTACTTGCCTGAGAAAATGATAATACTGAGTTCAAAATAGATTCATGGTTATATTACATAGGCAACTAGCCTGTTGAAAAGCTTAAGCATTTGCACAAATTTCTCCTAGTAATCTTTCCTTTCTTTCTTCTTCTAGATTGTACGAAGGTGTTGGAAACGTGAGCGTCTGTAAGTAGCTCTTTCCTGTTTTGGATTAGTTATTTTTTTTAAAGGAATCTCTAAAAACTGATTTTTTTTTTCAAGGAACAGAGGAAACCTAACTTTTTAAATACATGTTTTCCAGCTGTGGTCAGCACCAACACTGGACTCGGTTACGGCGGTGGAAGTAGCCTTGCCATGGGAGGAGGTGGAGGAGGCGGTCTAGGAGGAGGACACGGCATTGGTTACGGAGGTGGCGGCGGCTATGGTGGCAGCGGCTATGGTGTTGGCGGCGGCGGCAGCTACAGCATTGGAGGGGGAAGCGGATTCGGCTCTGGGACTGGTTATGGAAGTGGGGTCAGTATGGGAGGCGGCAGCAGTTACAGCTCTGGAGGAGGCCGTGTCTCCTCTGGGGGCGGAGGTGGAGGAAGCTCCAGTGTGAAAATTGTATCAAAAACCACTTCGACCAAGAAAACACTCTATTAAAGGTTGACCACCACCCCCAACCTGAATGGGAGCACATGGCCATTTGCAAGTGTAAATAGCTCTGCAAAGCTCTTCCCCTCTGATCTTTCACCTTTTCCATATGAGGCTGGCCATTGTGTGGATCCAGACATTTGAACCCTAGTCTAGTGAGAGTTTTCCATGGGCAGAGACAGGCTTGCAGTTGTGGATCAGCTGTACCCAATTGGTTACGGTTGGATTCACAACCACAATGTGTGACCTACATGTGTGAAGCATGTTACTGTGCTTTAAAGAAAAATCCAGGAGAAGCAAAAAGCTCTCTGTACATCAATGGGAGAAGAAGGGAAGCACATATCACATGTCTGGGGGCGGAATGTTAGAATGGGCTCTCCATGCAAAATTGTTTTGTAGATTTACATAGCTAATCCAAGAACAGCACATGATCCAGTGACTTGGATCCATACTAAATTTTCCATCAGCAGAATAGATCTCTCCTGTCTTGCCCCCTTCCGATGGCAGCCCACTGATCTCCCCCAAAAATGCTGCTCCTGGGGGATAGAGCCCCGCCCCAAGGAGCAAAATGAGAGGGAAGGAGAAATCAGTGGAAATTAGCAGTTTAGTCTACATTCAACCCAATCTATGAAGAAACCATGCAATCCACCCCTTTCAACAAGTCCTTATAACAACTAGGGGATCCCTCCAAGAGGATGATATGGAGGCATATTCCAAAGCAACTAGCAAGTTGCTGCTACTGTATCCCTCTGGTCAATGATACAGCACATTTCTAGACATCCTATTCCACAGGGCAGAAGGTAGAGAGGAATTTACCTCCAGCTCTTTGAATCTTCTTGCTGAATTACATTGCAATCCTAAACAGAGCTACCCACTTCTAAGTTCATTGCAGTCCATGAGTTTTCAAGGGTGTAACTCTGTGGAGGACTGAACTGTCAGTTTCTCTAAGACCTAGGCACTTGGTAATTGATCGTCTCTGATTGATAGCTGTATTCCATGTGAAAGAGGTTCTAGCTTGCTGGTTGCTCCTTGGTTGGAAAATGCCCCATTTTTAGAAAAGCATTAATTCCTTTGCTGAATTATCAGCTTTCAGTGCCTTCACTTACTGGGCAATAGACAGTGATGGGAGTTTCCCAGCTGGCAGGCTTCTAAGATTTCTCTCACTCTCAGAACGTGCTTTTGGAATTCTCCTCTCCTGTTTGGGCGTGTTCTTTGTCATTTCATTGAGGGCAGGATCAAGCTTACAGCCCCATAAAATCACTACACTCTTGCCAAAAAGAACTGTCTCTGAAACAGTTCAGATAAGATCTCTTCCCATCCTGTGTTCCAGCACGCACAGGTATTGTTTCCAATATGGGGGTGGGGGAGCTTTGGTTCTTTCTTGGAAGGGGAAGCAAATGTGGAAAAGGTGATCGCTTCTGTTGCTGCTGTTCTCTGAACCATAACACTGGTTTTCTAATGCTTCATCCAAATGGCTGTGGATCTTTGTCTTTCTACCATGCAAGGCTGCATGACAAATAAAGAGCAATTGTCATTTTTAAATGTACGGTTTCTGTTGTCGTTTTTCTCCCTGAGAACCCAAATCCCTTGTCTATTGCCATTCTCCTGAAAGGTTTTTCCCCCCGATGGGACTTTTCCTTAGATTCAGGCACCCCCATTCAGTGTATCTAACCTCTTCAAGTCACATGACCGGTCCTTGGAATGACCACACAGCATACACAGAGAATTAGAAGGCATGGTTTTGGGTTTGACCTTGGCCATTGTACTATTTAGGAAGGGCAAGGAAACTCTCCTGTTCCATTCTGTGTTTTAAATCATGTACTCCCCCCCCGAAACACTATATTTCTAATCCCAAGCACTTTGGTTACAAACAATTAAATGGGCTTTTGTTTGTTTATTTTAAACACTGATGCCTCCCTTTGCTGTCAATCTCAACCCTCAAGAAGTCTTATAGCAAATAATTACAATCATTGTCCATTACAATAAAAACGGGGGGGGGGGGGTCAAAAGCACATGGAAAACAGTTGACACAGTGCACATTTTTTTTTAAAAAAATTCAAAGACGATGGACTCTTTAAAGATGATTTTTGAAAACGCGGTCATATGACCTAAGTTGATTAACTTGCCCTAGCTGTTATGAGGGATAAATGTTAACCAGCGTTAGAAACACACAGCCTTCTTGCAACTTGACTATCAGCTGCCCTAAATAGTGCTTCTGCTCTCCAGCCCCCCCCCCTTCTTATTTGTTTCCCTAATGCATTCACAAAGAAGTCTGAAATGACTCCCTTGCTAGGAACCTGTTTTTAGCACTGGGGCCCAGATCTGGAATATGTGACGAGAGTATCCGTCGGCAGATGCCTTTTCTTCAGCGCGGAGAAATCATACCTTGCCATCACGCATATGGGACTAGGTGACACAGCCATAATGTAATAAAGTGAATGGAATCAGTAGTGGGGTTAGGTAATTGTTGACTCTGCACTCAATGGCACAGCTGGGGAAATAATCACATCCCACGCATGCAGAACTGCATGTACAAAGTTTACGGGAACAACAGAATTGCAATAAGTATTAACTAATTGTAGGCCTTCCAGTAACAGAGAGGCCTTCAGGCTACGCCAGACTTACAGGCAAAGAAGAAACAGCTCAAGGGGGGGGGGGGGGGGGGGAAAAGAGAAAGAGGCGAGCCATGTTTATTTCCTTCTGCTTAGCTATAAGGCAGGGCTGTCTCAAGTCATTTTGCTGCCCCAAATAAGAAAAGCCCCACTGCTGGGTCAGACCAGTGGTCCATCTAGTCCAGCATCCTGTCTCACACAATAGCCAAACAGTTCCTCTGGAGGTCCAACAACAGGGTATAGAGGCCGAGGCCTTCCCCTGATGTTGTCTTCTGGCTCTGGGACTCAGAGGTTTGGCGCCTCTGAACATGAAGGTTCCCTTCATTCACCATGGCTAGTAGCCACTGATAGACCTGTCCTCCATTAATCTCTCTAATCCCCCTTTAAAGCTGTTTATTCCTGTGGCCATCCCTGCATCCTCTGGCAGCAAATTCCACATTTTAATCACCTCTGCATCAGAAGTTATGTTGATCAAATTTAGTGTCACCAGCCTCCTGTTAGGGCTTGGAGATCTCACAGAATTACAACAGATCTCCAGACTATGGAGATCCGTTCCCTGGAAGAATATGACTGTTTTTGAGGGTGAGACGCTATGGTATTAAGTCTGCTGAGCTCCCTAGGTTCCAGGAATCTCCAGGAAATTCTTAACATGGAGTTGGCAGCCCTACTGCTTCACCTGCTGTCAGTTTCCCAATATTATGCCCCTCCCCAGGAATGTGTCTTAGTTTACTTACTTCACATGAGAAGCACAGAATGAACAGTAAGCAATAACTTCATACCAGCCACTATTTCAATTATGGAAATGGAGACATGCCTATTAATGTGTATGCCAGAACAGGGCCAGCAGCCAATACTAATAAATAAACTATAGCAACATTAAATAAACTTTAGCAATGTTAATGATACTTGAAATTAAAGTGGGGAGGCATCTTATACTGGCATCAGTTTTATTGTGCAAAGAAAGCCACTTGCACTACATGATTAGGAAGGCATATAGTGAAGCAACTGGTCAAACACCAACAAGCCAGGGCTTTCTCGGTGGTGGCTCCTCTATGATGGAATGAGCTCCCAGAGAGGTCAGGGCCCTGCGGGACCTCATGCAGTTCCGCAGGGCCTGCAAGACAGAGCTCTTCCATCAGGCCTTCAATTAGGAGCCACCCCCAACAGCTGGAATGGCAGAGAGCCCTGTCCCCTGGAGTCGTCAGAAACAGCCTGTGCCAGCCACACAAAGGATTGGATCTGTGGGCTGACCGCTAAGATAAATCTCTGAAGGTTGGCCGCCATTATCTAATAATCGAATAATATTAATCTACTAGTATTGTTTAATGTTTAGCACTTTTTAATGTTGAAATGTTTTATATGTTTTTAGGGTTATTTAAATTGTTTACTTGTGTGTTTCTATTCTTTTATGTAAGCCATCCTGAGCCGGCTTCAGCTGGGAGGGCAAAATATAAATCTGATAAACAAACAAACAGATTAACATCCTATCGAACCAATCTACAAAAAAATCAGTTCCTTGTTCATGACCAATAGGCTTTTGTGCATCCCTAATTACATATCCTGTATGAACAAAAATTAGTTTTGATACCTTGTACATGTTCCCATCTCAAGAAACTACCAAATGTTTGTAAGCTTGCGTCATATTTTTCCCTTGCAACATTTTATAAGACTACTCATTTGCAAACATTCTAGAAACAAAGAGTGATTCAGGTTGCACCTCATGTTCATTTAACTGTCAAGAAATGCCTTCTCAAGCAACTTGTGTGCCAAAGGGGATTTGAAATGGGGCTTAAAGAGAGCCAGTTTGGTGTAGTGGTTAAGTGCGCAGACTCTACTCTGGGAGAACCGGGTTTGATTCCCCACTCCTCCACTTGCACCTGGCTGGATGACCTTGGGAAAGCCATAGTTCTGATAAGAACTGTTCTTGAAAAAGAGCAGTTTCGGTCAGAGTTCTCTCAGCCCCACCTACCTCACGGGGTGTCTGTTGTGGGGAGGGGAAGGGAAAGGAGTTTGTAAGCCACTCTGAGACACCTTTGGGTAGTAAAGGGTGGGGTATCTGACCTATGTGTTTGCCTGCTGTAATGCCAAAGTAAAACAACTGGAGGATGTGAGGGGGAGAGTATGCTTCGCTGCCAGCTTGTTATTTCTCAAGCCTGAGAACTGCACCTGTGTTGTGTCTACTGTTTGCCTGGTTCCCAAGATCTGAGCAAGGAACCGTTTTCTCCTGCCCGCCGGCGGGAACGTTATCCATTGGTTCTGTATCTAACTTGAATCCCTTTATCATGTCTGCCCTAACTGCTGGTCCCCAGTTCTAACAAAGAACGTGTTTGAGTGTCTTTCCAATGCTTTGAAATAAACTTTGCTTTCTTTGAAACGTGGATTTATTCTCGATGCTTGGGGATCCAACATATTGTTAGAACACTTTTCTTTTCCTATCGTCCCGATTCTGGCGAGACCATGAGCGGGTCTGAGGGATACCTACCTACCACGGAGGGGGACACGGGATCGGTCCCAACTACCTCCGCACCTTTGATTGTAACAACTACCGCACCAGGGGAAGGTGCTGTGGGGGGAGCGATTACCCGAATGCCTGCATACCTGTCTTGGCCGCCACCGACCCCTTCGCATTGGGGTGCGCGGAAGACCCCAGCACAGGATGATTGGGCTTTGTATAACACCCAAGGCACCAGGGAGGTGTATTCCCGTCGAGGCAGTGGGCTTCGAGAAAGTCTTTTCGACAAAGGAATGTTTCCCGACTCCGGGAGTTCGGGGGAGACTGGGAGTTATCGGAGAGACGTGGAAGACTGGATGTTTGAACCGATGGGGGAGGGAGCCCGGGCAGGATCCTCAGAGGGAGCCGCGGACTTCCAGACGGAGGGAGACTATGGGCCGCCTCCTGAATACCAACCACGGGAGCCGATCCCGGAGGAAACGACAAGGGAACGGCTGGAGGAGCTGGAAACAAAGAGTGATTCAGGTTGCACCTCATGTTCATTTAACTGTCAAGAAATGCCTTCTCAAGCAACTTGTGTGCCAAAGGGGATTTGAAATGGGGCTTAAAGAGAGCCAGTTTGGTGTAGTGGTTAAGTGCGCAGACTCTAATCTGGGAGAACCGGGTTTGATTCCCCACTCCTCCACTTGCACCTGGCTGGATGACCTTGGGAAAGCCATAGTTCTGATAAGAACTGTTCTTGAAAAAGAGCAGTTTCGGTCAGAGTTCTCTCAGCCCCACCTACCTCACAGGGTGTCTGTTGTGGGGAGGGGAAGGGAAAGGAGTTTGTAAGCCACTCTGAGACACCTTTGGGTAGTAAAGGGTGGGGTATCTCCTCCTCCTCCTCTTCTTCTTCTAAATTGTCCAAGGCTCCCCCCCAGAATCTCTCTCAGTACAGCAATACACAATGCTCTCAGAACAGCAAAACACAATAAACAGGGCTCTCAGAACCTGTGTACAGTACCTTTACTTCATCAGTTCTCACACCAGAGAGATCTAGGGTTCCTCCTCCTCCTCTTCTTCTTCTAAATTGTCCAAGGCTCCCCCCCAGAATCTCTCTCAGTACAGCAATACACAATGCTCTCAGAACAGCAAAACACAATAAACAGGGCTCTCAGAACCTGTGTACAGTACCTTTACTTCATCAGTTCTCACACCAGAGAGATCTAGGGTTGTCAGGTCAAGCCTAGCAAGGGACAGGAAGGTGGGAGATGGGGACTTAGAGTCCGTGGGTGGTGTTGCAAGTATAATGATGTCACTTCTGGGCTGCACCCAGAAGTAACAATTAAACTCTATGGTTGAACCCAAAAGTGACGTCATTGTGCTCACAATTTTGGTGAATTTTTTTTAAAAAAAATTGAATTTAAATTTTTAATTTATCCCCTGCCACTGCTCCAACCTGGAACTCGGGGTGAGGGATCCACTGACCAAACCAAGGTCTTG